ATGTTAATACTCTGCTAATGTGCGGCTGGGACCCCTAATGATTCATGCTCTTATATAATAGATTCACATCACCTAAAGGAAAGAAATAAGATCATTACAAAAACCTCAGTATTCTCTCCACCTTATAATGTTTGTGCTCCAAAGATAATATTGCCTATTAGAGGCTCTGAAACACCCACTGAAAGCTGCTGTTGCAATTTCGATATTTGCCTTTGAGCAGCCTCTAGCTATTCTAATCATTCTACCTACATGAAAAAAGGCATGAAGGCCAAAAAAAAGGTCAAAATGGAATTAGAAGATAAGCAAAAATTAGAAGATGAAGAGGCTACATTAAGCACAGCCAGGATTATAGAGCATTTATAGGTCAGGGTTAATATCCACTGTCTGAACTCTAGACCCAGGGGCTGCTGCAGATGATGGATTAGGTCCTTCAGCATACTGAAGGAGCAAGGAATTCCTTGTAATATTTATCCTAAACGCCAACATTTCTCTACTCCTAATTAGCAAAATGAAAATATATGACACACTATCATAGCTTTCATAAAACTTGATGATTTGATATCCAGAAAAAGAAATTAGAAAATAAGGGAATCATGGAAAAGGAAGAGATCTTCTAAAAAGAAATGGTATATAGTGTTGAAGTTTCTTTACGTAATAAAGGCCTTCTCTCCTTTCCACGTATTTCCTGCTTTTCTAGATAGTATTTAATTTTATTAATTTCTGTACCTGGTTCATATTTATCAATGAATATTCTTTATTCAGACCAAAAAGTACAGATAGATACTAAATATACCTGATGGAGGAAACACATGCAATTCTCATATATGATGGGAAGAAGTGAACACACAGAAAAAGCACAGGTTACCCAAATAGCTAGTGAAGTCTACTGAGCACCATCGATGGCAATTTTTCTCAGGAGAGCAGAACAGGAAAAAATTGTTAGTTGGAAAGCTGGACAGGTGTGTCCAGGTAGCATATCTGCAATCAATAGATTTAAATTCTAAATGAATGTGGTAGCAGGCTTTAAATATTACTATAAACAAGCAACAAAATAGTAACAGCTCAGCAGTGCGCGTACATTGCATTTGATCCTTAGGCTGGGAACATTTTCTGTTTTCAGTCTGGCATTGGTCTCCTGCACAAAACTCTTACTCTGTTGTTAGTCACAGACTCAGAAAATTACCCTATATAAGTGGCATATAGGCATAGTTATTACATGACATAACCTGTAGCTCAAGACAAAGAATTTAAGTTTTAGTAAGATTATCCAGGAAGGGTATAAAAAAGCTCTAGAAGAAATTCCTCCTATCTAATAAAACAGAAGAAAATGAGAAATGAGATGCCTGTAAAATCTTTGAATAGCATTCCCTTCAATAAATAAAGATCTAACCTTGTTAGAGCAGTTGAGTGAATGCAGTATAAAAAAAAAATTGTTTTGAAAATTGAAAAATAATATAAATATGTAATAGATGACATAAAATTATTGTGTAACAAAACAAACAGAAATCTTCATTATCTTTTGCATTTTTTAATATTTTACATATCTTTTTCTGGTCAGAACATTTCATTTCTATATTTTTATACACTTTATAAGATATATTCCAAAAAGTTTGGTCTGTTTTTAACAAAAAGTAAAATGAATATAATATTTTTCTAGGTTAATCTTCTAGTTTGATATAATATATCAAATTTAAATTACCTCTATAGCTAATACTTGGCTGGAAATTGAGTCACTGAGTTATAAATTTCAATATTTTTCTTGTAGGTAATGGTATATATAAAAATAAATCTCATTTCACTTAGTAGGCACATTGTATTTATGGTTTGTCACCAGCAAGAGTCAAAAGAAGCACAAACTTAAAGCATTTAAAGTTTGAAACCGTTAACTTGCAGCTATATCTTCATAACTTCTCATCTGAAAAAAGATTTGTAAAAGTCTAATGGACTGTTAGGGATAAGAACTAAGAATTATTACACAATAGATTATTTCTTCTCTCTAAAAAAAATGATTTCAGTTTCATGCACAAAAAAAGATTCCAGTATTGCTATTTATTATGTTAAGTCATACAAAAGTCAACTGTAATGATGCACGAGGAATTGCCTTTTTATCATTTTCACAGGCCTGAGAATAGATAGATAAATTTTCTTCAAACACTTAAATAACATACATTTTTAAAATATTTAAATTGAGATTACAATTAGAAATGTACTCCTGAAATTATAAGTACTATAGTAAATGTGTTCAGTGTCTGATGATTATAATTGTCATGCTTCAGTTGGCCTCCTTTTCTCTAAAACAGACTCTTCATCTATCACCCTACCTTATAAAATTGTTAATCTTCAGTATGTTACATACATCAGACAAAAAAAAAATTATTGTAAAATATACTTCAAGAAAGTGATGTGCATTTGAAGCAGCTAAAAACAACAGTTTGGGGTAAAATATATAGAAATTGTGTGGCAGTGCAAACCATACCTCCTGTGATAGGAGGTACTTTATAAAACATAGGTTGGAACCTGTCATTAATAAATATTTAAGAAAGTGAAATTCCATTTAAATGATGGGATTTGCCCCTCCTCCCCATCACTAAAAGGCAGGTAGCTGGTGAAATGGACTTGCTAGGAGACCATAATCTACCTTTCATTCTTACTGTGATGTATGTAACACATTCTAGATTATTTCTTTAGTATTAGAATCACTGTGATCTTTAAAGGATTTCTCTACTTCCCCAAGGCTCTATTTATAAGGGACTTGCTATGATTTTCAAAAAGAATGTATACACAGCATGTATAACATGAAGAGTCGGGATGTAGTGCTTACACACATACTGTGTATCTCTGTTACCATTAATAGGTTGGGACCAAACCTTTAGAGTTTCTGGCATATGGAATCATCTTTCTCAGAAACACGGAAAATCAGAGAAGCCAAACCACAATAAGGAGAAGTGTGAAATGTTATTTAGTAATGATGTAGTTGCCACATACTATTAATACTTCCTTAAAAACCAGTTTGTCTTAAGTAAATAATGCTGGTATCTTTTATATCTCTTCTTCTATCACTCAGCAGAGTGGTTTGTTCAGTTTGGCACTTATGTGGTTTGCGAGTTTTGCAGACCGTGAAAGCAGGGGGAAAAAAGTCTTGCAGCATCTATAAGTGGAAAGCTTTATTACGAGGAAAGACGATAGCTGAATTTTTCCTTTAAATGCCAGATTGGGTGTTTCAGTTATAGTAGGCTCTGAAGTTAGGGGAAATCTATAGATTCTATTTTGAAGTGTTAATTTCAGACTTTAAGGATGAGGAAATAGAATAGAAAAGAAGTAGAGGGAAGATTTCACTTTCCAGAGCATCTAGGGAGATTGTTTCCCTTTGAAGAGGTGTTGCAAGAAAAAAAAATACATTTACAGTGGTTTTAAACTATTTTTATTGTTAATTGGCCAAAGAAATTTTCAGCAAATACCCAATATAGACTATTGAAACAGAAAAAAGAAAGTCACTTAATCACGATCACACAACTACAATAATCCAAGCAAAGATTACTTCTACCATGCTGAGAACTACTATTTAATAGGCATAGCCGGCACACTCAATACTGTCTGACAGCACACCTTTTCAGAATCCCCAGAACATTACTCAACCTCATCAATGCATAGAGATATGAAAACAGTGATACTACTCAAATACTATTGCTACATTACCAAGGATTCTGCAGCACCAGCAAAATCACTTTACTGCAAAACCCCACTAACAATTTCTACTAAAAATAACGGAGCACTAGAGGAAAATAATGGAAGTGGTGGGAGGTGCATTAGCAAATCCAAAATTCTTATAAGAGACAAACACAGAGGAGGTATAACTTGGGGATAGTTCCATTATATCAATATATGATTTGGATTCCTAAAAATTGTGGAAGATTAGTATTGTAATTAACCAATTAACTGAAGAAGTTGCGGCACGTTTTCATTTGCCTTCCTAACTGTTCAGTTGAAGTTATTGGACAGAGCTGTGGAAAGAAAAGAGGCCATCATACTTCCTTCTCTAACTCAAGCATGGTTACTAAAGTTTCCCAGCTATATTGAATCATGAAGGAGTAGAATTGGAATTAGATTTTTTTCCATGAACCTAAATGCATACGATATATGAGAGAAAAATTTTGGCTTGTGCTATTTGAAATACATATTCAGCTGTGAATGCTAATAAATTGGCATTAAATATCCATTTAGTTTTGCAGCTTCTCTAGTTTGACCTTTGGAGTCCAGATACCGGAACTGTAGTACATCAGAAGCAGTAATACCAAATTTATTCTAATCACTTTTTATTTCTTTTGTTTCTTTTTTTTTATTATTATTAAACAGTTATTTGTAGTGATTGAACTTACTCTGTGACCTCCACTATTTTCATTACATCAGAGCTAAGGAAATATGAGTGCACACAGAACTGACCTGAGCCATAACAATATCAGTACTCAGGGGCTCAATGTCTGTTAGGCAAGATGTAAGTAAGTGAGGTCTGTTACCATTTCTTTGAAGCATCCCAAGGACAGCACATTTCATGTAGAGAGAGAGAGATTTGCTACAAGTGCTGTAGCCCAGGGAGATCTGAGAAATATGTATGGCAAGAAATCAAGAGAAAAGAGAGTGAAAGAACATCATTTATAAAAACAGCTTGACTGAGCAAGTAAGTCCGATTACTTGTGCTGTGCAACTATTGTCACTGTGGCTCCACAGGGAGCACGTCCATTTGTCACTAACACCATATTGTATCTCAGGACATACAAGTATTATATCAAATGCATCTCTTGATCACTGGATAGCAGTCTGCTTTCTGGCACATCTCAGATGTGTGGATAAATACTCAGGACTACACATGCTGCTCTCCATTATCCTACATCTAATCTTCCTCAAAGCATCTGCACAGAGACTTTAATTCACTTGCTTTGGCTTTTCTTAGGTTACTCTTGATTACACATATTTGCGTTTAAAGTAGCTGAGAGTGCTCTTACCCGGGTTCCACGTTGTGCGGGACCCCGAGCGAGGCAGGGGGGTGTACGAAGAACGGGACTCAGAGCGAGGGAGGGTGGCATAAGCCGACGGAGAGGTAGAACGGGGCAGGGTGGTATACGTAGAGCGAGACAAGGTGTTGTTATAGGAGGAGCGGGACAGGGTGTTGTAGCCAGAGCGTGACAGCGTGCCGTATGAGGTGCGGGGCAGAGGGGTATACACAGAGCGCCCGCTGGTGCCCCTCGTGGACCGAGAGGCGGGAGCCCAGGTGGAATGCAATGATGAGCGCGAGACAGCATTGCACGAGGGACCCCACCGCAGGCCACACAGGGAGCGGGATGCCGGGACACATGTGCTTCGTGACACAGGGCGGGATGCCGGGGTGCACACAGACCGGGCTGTTGCAGCTGCCAAAGGACGCGAGGCCGAGGGGCACACGAAGCAGCCTGCAGACACGTCCTCCGGGCGTGAGGCTGGTAAGCTTGCTGCTGCAGCTCCCACGGAGATGGAGGCCGGGGAGCACAGCGAGTGGGCTGCGGGAGGGCCCACGGGCCGAGGGGCTGGGGCGCACACTGAGTGGGACACGGAGCCGTTGCCCAGGTGCAGCCCTGGGGTAGAGCTACGTGCAACGAGAGGCACTGGGGGAGCCCCTGGGCAAGGCCCTGGGGAGCACACAGTGTGGGCCACAGGGCTGCTCGTGGGTTGAGATGGTAGCGTGGCCATCGAGCCGTACACAGGCTGAGATGTCGGAGAGCGTGCGGAGCCACAGAGGGAGGCAGAAGGTCTGGAAACTGCTGTTGGTGGTGGCACAGAGTGAGATACTGGAGAGCACACCGAGTGGGATGATGGAGCAGACACGTGGGTAGGGACTGCATGGGGTGCTGAGCTGGGGCTCGAGCCAGCCATAAAGTGATTCAGCAGGGCATTCACTGCATTATTTGCTGGGACAGACACAGAATAAGACATTGGTGCCCCTCCAGGCTGGTGTGTGGAGCCAGACCCTGACTCAAACAGCACGTGAGGCATTGGGGTGCACACAGGGTTGGATGCTGGGACAGGATTAGAGCCACGCACGGTGGGAGGCATTGGGACACAGGCAGGGGGAGGCATGGTCTCGCACATAACACGAAAGCCAGAATCGCATCCAGGATCAAAACCAAGATTGACGTTTGGATTGAAGCCTGCGTTGCAGATAGAGTTGCATAAGGGATGGCCTGCGGGGAGGTACACAAAGTCATACACGGGCTGGCCCGCTGCATCACAGTTGGGGTTGCACACTGGGATACATACATATTCGCACATGGACTGCAAACCAGGGTCCCCCGTAGTGACAGAGGCAGAGCTGTTGGCTGGGAGGGACCCGTTCTCACAGACATGGAGCGATCCGTTCTGGCTCACGGGGGGAATGCCATTTTGGCCCACAGGGTTACACACTTCAGTGCTGGCACACCCCTTGCAGTAGGCAAACTTGTGGCATCCAAAGTTGGCTAGGAGCCGGTGCTTGCCAAGCCTGTAAGGTGTAAACTCCACAACGGTTCGTGCCTGTTGATTGGAAGCCAACGTTCCCAAACTGAATGAACAGAAAGAAAAGAATTAGGGTGTCCCACAGGCCCTAGACAGCTCACAGTCCTGAAGCAATAGAAATTGAATATATATTATTAGGTTTGATTTGCTATGACATTTTCAGAGAGAGTTTGTTATGACAGCTTTGTTGCTCTTCCCTTCCTCCCCCAAAAAATCAGTGTTGTGGAAAAGCATGACAAGAATTTCCTTCTGCAAAAGGAGGTGTTATTCCTACCCATGGAAAATTCTACTGCCCTATAGTCAATTGCATATAGTTTTTACTTTACTGTTAGCATTTGGAAACTTTGTCAAGATACTCTTTGGGAAGAATAGTTTCTTAAATTCTTCAAAAACATAGTACACTTAACTCAGAAATATATTCAATGCTTCCCATTTTCTGTGGTCTAAGTTTTAGCAGGGACCTTTGTGGCATCAAGCTTATTATCATTCAGTAGGAACTACTCGTAATTGCTTCCCCTCAAAAATAGTCCAACTTCTGTCAGTTCTCCTTGTCATGAAGGACAGCAACTCACGTTAATGACCAGCTACTTCTTCTAGGATGCTATAGCATCCTGAAAGTTTTCAGTTTCTTGTGATCAACATGTTATGAGCTTAGAATGCACATTGCTATTTCTCACTATCTTTTTCTAATTGTTCAGGTATGCATTCATGAATATTTAGAGCAATTCTATTATAAACTCAATAGGATTATAAGGTTTGAGGCACCCAGCTAGAATTTTTTTTTGTGACGGAAACTGCGTATTTCCCTTCAGTTAAAAATTTGAAAAGCACTCTTAAATTATATCTTAAGGAAAATGAAGGAACAACATGTCTTGCCAGCTGTAAACGCTTTGTTAGTTTCAAGATGAGTGAGACTTTCAGTGGAGTTTCAAAGTAACGAGGAGCAAAAAGTCCTGTTTGGGCTCTCAACACCAAAAATACCGGAACTGTCATCCTCCTCAAAACCTGCTGTGACCTAACAGCCTTTAACCAACCCCAAATATTATCCTTATCCAAATAGTCATTGAACTTACTCAATGGTCATTGGTTCTTTGAATAAACCACAGCCTTCTAAAGTCATTATGCAGTTCTTCATATCTTCCTGGAGAGGATTGCAGAAGGAGATCTCTGCAGTGCAGGGTTGTTTCAGCCTGGGTTGGCTTAATAGCTACTCAAAACAAACAAACAAACTCATTCACATTTTTTTTTTGCAACCCTCACAATTAG